TCAATACATGAAGGGCACAATTAGAATACTGGGTTTTTGGTACAGAGCTGGCTTCCCAGGGGTCTGGTTCTATTCTGACATTGATCTTATAATTTTGTTTTCCAGAAAATTGCCTTAAAGGAACAAAAAACAAAAAAACCCTGACATCATTTGGGAACTTTTTTGATGGGGTGGGGGTGAGAAAGGAGTATGTTACCTAGAGTTTCTTAATCAAATGTATACCCTGTAAGAGCCAGTTTCTTTCATATTGTCAGTTGGAATTCTCTGCTGGATGGAGATTAGACATGGATAATCATTTAGACAGCAAGCTAAATTATTCAGTTTTGCTGTTTACATAGCCCAAATTTGCCAGATAATAGCTAATTCCCACCTGACTAATTATACTGAATTTCTGGAAAGGAAGGGCCATTGATTGGCCTGCCTGCCCACTTTCATGAGGCATTATTTCTTTTTTTTTCCAATTTTATTCATGTATATATTTTAAAATATCATCTTGATTTCCCAATATGTCTATCCTTTCCCTCCTCGCAGAGAAATTTGTGGGTCTTTTTAATACAGGCATATGCATTTGAATAATCAACGTTGCTTTTAATTAATTCTCTTCTGGCACCTGATTTTGGCACTTGCCTTAGGGACCTTTAAAAAAATTTTTTTTCAAAGTTGTAAGTATAAATTAGCATGATTTTGGAGTAATTCTAAAATTTAAAAAAAGTCATCAGAAAGGTCCAGCCCTATTTTTGTTTATAGTTGAACAGATTGTGCCCCCAACCACTGATTCTGTTGTTCAAGACCAGAGTGAAATTTATAAAAGTATTCCCTTGACAGTAAGTGTTTAAATACTTTAGTCAAGCTTTAATTCTGGTGGCAGTACAGGCATGGGGAAAATGTTAATTATTTAGCTTAGTCTTAGTTTCCTTTCATTTACTGAAAAATGAAACATTGTGAGAGCCTGATGCATGAGAGGTACTGTGCTGTGTGCTAGGAATCAAACGTGGATTCATCCAGCAAACAAAAGCAAGGCTTTTCTTTTAGCCTTTGAAGGCTAAACAACAGGTCTTCAAGGCCTGTATATCCGACTAAGGATATAGAGGATAAATATGATTGCCATGACACTGTTTTTGAAAGGCATATATTAATAAGATCAGATACCAGGGTAGCTAGGTGGCACAGTGCATAGAGCACCAGTCCTGGATTCAGGAGGACCTGAGTTCAAATCTGACCTCAGGCACATAACACTTACTAGCAGTGTGAACCTGGTCAAGTCATTTAAAGCTGTCGCCTAGATAAAAATAAATAAATAAAAATAAGATCAGATATCATAGATCTGGAATTAGAAAAGATGTGAGAGCTCACAGAGGACAGAGTGCTGGGCCCAGAGTAACTTCAAATCCATCCTCAGATACTTACCAGCTATGTGACCCTGAGCAAGTCATTTACTCCTGTTTTTCTCAGTTTCTTCATCTGTAAAATGATCAGGAGAAGGAAATGGCAAATCACTCCAGTACCTTTGCCAAGAAAACCCCAAGAGGGTCACAAAGAATTGGATAGGACTGAAACAACAGAACCACAAGAAGTTCATCCAGTAAGTATTTATTAATCAAAAAAAGTTTATTAAGTCTTCACTACATGCAAAGCACTGGGCTAAGTACTAGGGATACAAAAAAAATAATAATTGCCTGACTTTAAGGAGTCTAAATTTTCTAATGGGAGAGACAATGTATTTAAATCAGAATATACAAGCTCAATACAGGACTATTTCCCCTGCATCGGGCCAATGCAAGTAATTGGCCCATATGATAAAGCCCCTGGAGAAGTGACTTCTAAGAGCTGCTCAACGTGGAAATCATTAAAATCCTGCCGTCATGGGTCATGCATGGAGTTGTCCAAAGAATGAATGGAAGCCAGCACAAATAAAAAAAATATTCAAGGGAAAGATCAGATGTATTCAGTAAAATGTATGAGATAGCTCATTGAAAGACAGCAATTAGACAGTCTAGCTAAGTGGTCATAGGCAAACATTAAAATTATATTGAAATGGCCAACTTACTAATCATTCCATTTGCTTTGCTGAAGTATAAACACCCATTGCCTTCTTACAATCCCACACAACAGGTAATCAGTTCCTTTTGAAATCCCATGCTATAGTCACATTGTGGTCCTTAGGAGGTTTCATTAAGCAAACAGTCTTAAGGATTGCTCAGCTTTTATGCTAGGCACCATATTGATGGATGCTAACCTTAGCAGCAAGACTTCTCCTTTGTAAGCTCGAGTGGGCTTTTTTCTCTCTTTTCTAAACTTTGGAGACTTTTGGCAAAGGTATGTGGTTAGTGCTCCTGTGACTCCTTGGTGTATCTGTAGGAGACTTGAAAATGTCACAGAGAAGTGAGATGTTGCTGTCTTCACCTTTTCCTCTACCCAATTTTATTTTGCTCTGGCTGGGATCTTGGGTCATACTTTATGTCTTCACAAAAGGCCAATGGACATTTTTATTACGCTTCTATAGAAGCATTGCTTGCTTTGTTTCATTGGCAGATTTCCATGCAAACTGTGACTAATACAGGCCTCCACTATCAGTTGACAATAAAAGAAAAGATAATTTTTCACTGCCTAAAGGGAAAAGCTCTCAGCTACCTGCAGAATAAAGGCAGTCCAGTTTACCTTTCCTTGAGGTCCAGTAACTTCATTCACAATAGGGATCTTTTAATAGTTTCCATCAAATATGAAAGTGGCCATCTTCTACTGCCTGACCAGCCTTTCTCCTTCCTCATCCCTAAATTCCATCCAAATAATTGATCTTCAATTCAGTATATATTGCTGTGGAAAAAGGAACTGACAAAAATTCCAATGTCTGGGATCGGCCATTAGTCTTTACAAAAAAAGTCTATCTGAGCTTCCCACAGGAAGTCACATTAACTCATTTGCCAGAGGAAATGAAGGCCTATAGAGGTGCAATGACTTGCCTGAGGTCACACAGTAAGTGAGACTCAGAACAAGTACTAGAGTCCAAGAGTCGTGTTTTTCATTTTGCTTTGAAGAGGAGTGCTTAAGGGGGGTCTCTGAACTCGTTTTGTTTGTTTTGTGTTTAAACTGATTTGGATAACTCAATTTCAATGTAATTGGTTTCCTTTGGAGTCCTATGTGTTTTACTTTATTCATTAAAAAATCATTATTCTGGGAAGAAGTCTGTTGGTTTAATCAGACTGTCAAAGAGGTCCATGACATAGATACACACACACACACACACACACACACACACACACACACACACAGAGTTAAAAATTCCTGCATTGTGTTAAAAAGGAATCCTAAGAGTTTTTGTCTTCTCACATATCCTTACTGATTTACTAATCCAAGTCCATGGTGATTCCAATTTTAAGAGTTGGAAGAAATAATGATGAATAAACAGGTTTTCAGGATAAGTCACTAATTTTGGATGACATGGGGTATAGGGAATTACAGCTATGTCACATAATGTCACATTCTATTATGGTTTTTGCATGGACAAAGTATTTTTTAAGGATATAAGCCTGAAGAAAGTAAGGAATGTTTACTTTAGTTACTAGGCTACTTGTGTGTTCTGCTGTAATGAAAGATGTAAAAACAAAATAACTAGTGATTAGCTGTCAATGGGACATTTATAAATGATGACCTAAGTGACAGATTGGAAACAAAGCTATTGGACCTGGTCCCAGCTGCTCCAGAGCACTAAAGACCAGGGTTTAAAAGTAGGACAAGATGGAAACCCTGACATCTTCTCTCTCCTTTTAGTTAGGAACAAACTGTTTTATCTTTAACCCCCTTAAATTATCAGTGCAAAGTAGGAAGAGGGGTGGAGAGGACACAGGAAAAGGAAATTTTGTTGAATCTGACAATAAAGTTGCCTCCATCAGATAATAAAAACTAATGCCTATGTAAGCATTACAAGATACTTTCCGTTTGCCCTCTAATAAGATTCTCACCACAACCTGGTGATATAGTTGCTATTATTTTTGCTACCCATTTTACTGATAAAGAAACTGTGCTTCATAGAATTTAAGTCACTTGTCCATATCCTCCTGCTTTCAAATCAAATTCTATCTACTCTGCTGCCATAGCACATACTGGGAGGTCTCCTATTTTGAGAAAACATTTCAAGGGTTGAAGTGATGTAGTGAATAGACATCTGGTCTTGGAGCCAAGAAGAGCTGAGTTCTAGTCCCTCCTCTGATATGCTAGCTGTGTGATACTAAAGAACTCACTTAATCTCTTGATATTTTATAAAACTCTCTAAAACTGTATATTGTATGGAAGATGTTAACCAGCATGAGTTGGAGTTTCCTCTTCTGGGCGTTCCCTATATCAACGAAATCACAAATCCAGTCCTTATCCCCATCTAATTTTTAAGTACATAAAAAGGTTGGATCTTCATTTTAAGTTGAACTACATGAAGGCCATATGATACATGTATTATTCAGCTAGGAATTTCAAACCATTTTACACTTGGAGTAGGGATGAATAAGGACACTGGTAGTTTTTCTTGGCTACTGATGACACACAGATTTCGAAATTGTCCGAAAGCTCTCTACCAGAACTTTTTTTTTCTACCTGCAAGCAATTGTGTACACAAATCATTACCTTCAGTTAGCAAGGTGGGTGTGTAATGGGTCCCAAGATCAGGGGAATCTTTGTGCCTGTGCTAGTCAGACACTCATAATAAAGCCAAGGACAACTGGTAATATACAAAGTATCACAAGGGAACCTAGTGTTTTGGAGAATTTAACTAAGAAACCATGGCTTTTCAAAAACCTACAAAAATTTAAAAGTGATTGCAAAACATAGTCCGATAATTTATGCCCTGACATTGCATAGATAAAAATATATATGCACATGTATACATATGAATGAAATGAATTAATGAAAAAAATTTTAAAGTATTTATTGTGTGCCAGGCATTGTGCTGGGAATATAAATTTTAAAAGGAAATTATAGTCTAAAAGGAAGACATAAAAAGGGAAAGATGATCAAGGAAGAGATTTTTATTCCAGGGAAGTGAAAAGTTGAGGTGGGGCAGAAGGACAAATGTCAGGTAGTGGGCAAATGTTGAGATGGCTTTCCTGCCTGAGTAACTCCGTGGGATGGGATGCCAAAACATGGCCTGATGTCTAGCCCAGCCATTAGATCTAGTGGCTCCAATGAAATTACTTTCATGATATAAGGAGAAATTGAGGGTCTCTTGCGTGTTGGATGGATCCCTTGGTTGAATCTGTGAGAGGATTTGAACACAAGTTACACAATAAGGGCAGGGATAGATCAATTGTGATTTGCATCATTAGATAGAATTTCTAAATATGTGTATACACACCTCAAATATTAAAATAGATATGTGATCCCATTGACTGAGAGTGTATACACATAGTTAAAGATGCCGATAATTGAGGTGACATGGATGATATAAATATAGATAACATAGATTATAGAGATGTAGGTATAGCTATAGATACATATATGGATGTAAATATATGGATATATGCACACATGTATGACTATGTATACACAATGTCAGTAGAGTTATATATATTATATATAGTATAAACATGCAATTATATGTACGCAGTTTTAAAACACTCATAGAGAAAAAAAACCTTGTCAAAGAATTTTTATGTTAGTTCCTTCTTTAAGGAAATTCAAGGAGGAAAGAGAAAGCTATGTCTCATATATCTAATCTGTTACCCAAATAGTTCTATATCTACATTATTGTCATCTTTCCTAAGGAGCTCTCTACCCTTCCAAGATACTTCCCATTCTAGTAATTAACATGAGCACTTTGACAGTTTTGCCTTTGTTGGCACTGGAAAAAATATCTTTAGTGGCAGAGAACTCAAGTTCTTCATAGCTGATGATGGAAGTTCTAGGTAATTGGTTTCTTTCTTCAGTTAGCTCTAATTATGTGTGTAAAATACAGGCCTATGCTTTGGATCCAAAGCGCCTTCTATTTTGTTTGAGCCAGATGTTTTTTCACCTTTTTTTAAATTACCCTTCTTCTTGTCTTTTACGTAAGAACTACTACTTGACTTACACTTTTAGAAGCCACAAGTCTGTATTCAATTCATTATTTGTCCTATGGAGGTCCTCTCAGCTTTCTAGACTGTGCTCAGTTCAGGATCCATTGGTATGTGTCAAACTGTGCTGATTTTTAAAAAATGCAACTGGATATAGTAGCATGGAAACTGGCGCCCAAATGAACCTATTGTCTCTTATACTCTGTTGGTTTATTCAAGGCCAACATAATTTTCAGCTGAATGTCATGTAATTACTAAGTAACTTAGTTATCACAGCAAACAAAGGAATACACGCAATATAGTCTCCACTTATTCCCAAATTCTTGCTTCAAATTATGTTGCTAGTTTTCTCAGGCAAAACAGCTGTAACGCTTTTGGCTTTAAAAGCTCATATTATACTCAGCTAAGTGCAATTGTCAGGAAAAGTGATCTAGTTATGGAGACTGGAAAATTTAAATACATATTTTGGAAAAATAAAATGAATCATTAATGTGCATTAGAGTGACTTCTTTCGTCTTGGTTGCATTTTGTCTTTTTTTCTGGGGTTGGGGCAAAACAACCTGGTTCTAAAATGGCCTTTGTATTTGCAAAGAACAAATACCTGCCTGAGATTTGGACATCATATAACAGGGGGAATTGTGGCATACAGTTATTCAGGGAGCTGTAATCAGAGCCCCAGAGAGCACAACATCTCTTGTAGAGTTAGCAGTCATGGTGACTTTTAGTGAACAACTGTGGTTGCAACATGTTATTAGGACATAAATGTCTAAATGCCACATCGGAAAAGTCAAAACAAGTCTATTTTCTCTGCTCTATGTATATTATATTTATCGCTTCCTAAAGAATATACAGAAAACTGTTTTTTAAACCTATCCTTCTCCCACTGTAGAATTACTAATTTGAGAAATGCTGACTCCAGGCTCATATGTTTATCTAGGTCTGAGGTTGAAATTATGTGGAGTCTTCAAATTTAGAGTCCCATACAAATTTCTTCTGACCTTCCACTTATTTTTTTTTTACTTAAGGAGAATTAATAGGATATTATTGTTTAGTAAGTATTTGTGGTGCCCCTATGGCCTGTATCCTCCATAAAGACAGGGAGTGTGTTTTCTTATTACTTTGTACTTTTGTAGTAGCATGAGGAAATTATGGTCACATTTCCCAGAGAAATTTGCTTTTGACTTCAAAATGTTACATATTTCCTGTCTTTAAAAAGAACAAGATGAGGATTGTGATGCTGGGGTCCATCGTCATACCTGCTATTCTGGGGGCTAATAAGAAAGGAAAGAAGGAAATAAACATTTATTAAGCATCTACTATGTGCCAGGTACGGTGCTAAGCACTTAATAAATATTTCATTTGATCCTTACAACAATCCTGGGAAGTAGATACTATTATGACTCCCATTTTACAGATTAGGAAGCTAAGGCAGACAGAGGTTCAGTGACTTGCCCAGGATCACACAACTAGTAAATGCCTGAGATTGGATTTTAATCCAGGTCTTCCAAGCTGAGTACTCTCTTCACTGCACTATCTATCTGCCTTCAAATTGGGAAAAGCTCAGAATAAGGAAATCTAGGACAAATCATGTCTCTGATTCTTTCTAGCTATGTGATCACAGATTAGTCACTTAATCTTTATTTTACAGATCAGTAAACAGACACCTCTCTGGCCACCATCCCTCCAGGTGTAGCTTCCCCTTATTATCATGCCAAGACTCCTTGGACAAGGACTGTCTTTGCTTTTGTATTTGCATTCCTAGCATTTTGCACTGTGCTTTGCATATCATGAACACGTAAATAGTTTTTAATTCATTCTTTCATGAATACATCCATCAGTTCATTTACTTATTGCAACTCCTTAGCACTATATGGAAGAGAAAGTAACTTTCTTGGCTATAAAGTTATTAGCACAAAATGAAGTATGGCAGATAAATAGTGCTCTGGGGTTTGTACTTGAAAAGGCAGAAGACGTGTGTGACCCAAACCATCAAGTCACCTATTTCCAGATTTCCCTAACTGTATCCCATCTGTTACATGAACAAAGTTCATCATTGCAGTATTACTCAATGATGTTTCCATTGAGCAAAGCTCTTAAATTTCCAAAGTTACTGCAAAACATGGACACTTAGAGTTGAATTACCTGATATAACAGGACACATAGGATACTTGATACACACAAGTGGGGAATTCATGAGTAAAGTGAACATTTTGGGCACCATGTAAAAAATTAATGAACCTACATACTAGACAGAGTGTGAAAATCTTTATTATGGGAAACCTGATCATGGTCTTTGAGAAGCTTAAGGGTCGTTTTCTGAAATTATCATTGATATTCAGTTAGGATAAGATGTCATTAAATGAAACTTTAGTTGATTTGCAGTGCAAGTCTATATAATTTAAAGGTCATTTTTATTGTCGTATTTCTTTAGATATAATAAAGGCTTGCTATATCCACTCAGAAATAATCATGAAGCAATTTTAAATGTATTTATTACTAAGTAACCATAATCATCAGAATTATTGAATAGCCATTTATAAAAATTTTTAAAATGATTTATTGGTATATTTTGTTGCTTATGATGCAAATACTTTCTAGTAATACCCCTACTTTATATCTTCCCCTATCATAACATTTAACTTTTAAACAAAACCTTCTGATACAGAAAATGTGATTAACAATATATTTTTCACACATATTTCATCTCTATGGAAAGCAAAAATGAATGTTTCAACATCAGTCACCTGGAACCAATATTGATCATTGCATTTCAAGGAATCATATAATTGGAAAGGACCCCAAAAACCACTCAATCCAACCCATAAACAACCCAATACTATGACAACCCGACAAGACTGTTGTTCAGCTTCTACTTAATGACCTACAAGAAGGGGGAACCTACCACCTCTCAAGGGTCTGACGCTGGCATTGTCTCCCCGTGGCCTGCACTGCACTCCTGGCCTGACCACCACCCTGGTGTGACAGGCCTTTTCTGCCAACCTCCTAAGTTGTCTTGAGTTGGAAAATTGTTTCATCCCAACTTTTTGTTGGCTCTGTTGTGCTAGAATTTGATTTGAGGTAATATTTTATAATTGTTTGGAGGGGAATTTAGGAGAGTTCAGGCGGGTTTCTGCCTCTACTCTGCCACCTTGTCTCTGCCCCTTGAAAAAGCTTTTTTTTAAAAAAATAAGTCCATAAGTTGTTTCAGGAGCAGTTTTCCTTATATTATTTAACCTCAGATAGAAGATGAACAGGAAGATTATGGGTAAGGGATATACTTCATTTTCTTAGGCAATCTGAAAAAGAAACTTGGACAAAATGAAGTAAGGAATTTTCAGTGGTCTTAAAAAAATCATTTCTATATAATTGCTCAGATTCTATTTTATGTGAAAACAAAATTAGATTAAGAGAAAAAGTTAACTTACAGGTGAATTTCAAGAACCAATTAACTGATGGTTGGCCAAATCTTCAACAGATTATTATTACCCATGGAATATATTAGACTCTACAATTTGGTAGCCTAATAGCCCCAATGGGAGAAAATCATATATGCCTGTAGCAGCATCTAAATATACTCTTTTCTAACCCTGCTTCTCCTATTTTTAACTTTTTTTTTTGCATACTGTTCTTAATCCTAACTCTACCATGCTCCCAAATGAGTTACCATCTGATAATACTAGAAGCAAAATATTTTCATCTTAGATTATTACAGAAAATCAATCATTGTCAGTTCCCATTCACTCAAATAGAGTGTGCTGTTCACATACAGGATGAATCCAAGTAAGAAAGACAACTTAGTCAACATCTTTATGCAGAGACCAGAACAGGAAACTGTACAAAGTGGTTGTTGTTTTCTGTTGGGAAAATATTAACTTGTATAGGTCAACTAACTCTAAGAAATCAAAGTACAACTTTGATTTTCAGTACAAGGAACTGTCAGGACAGGAAGGAAACTCTTCTGTTAATTAATATGGGTGAAACAATATGTTAAGAACAAATGAAAATATTTCAGGGTTCTTTTTCCTTTCATTTTACTTTACTCTGTCACTCACTGTTGGCTATCCTTCCTAGTTTTGTTTCATTTGCAGATTTGATGAATATGCTATCTATCCCCTTATCCAAGCCACTGATAAAACTTTAGACAGCACAGAGCAAAGGCCAGATCCCTGGAGTCCTCCACTGGAAACTTTCTGTCACACTGACATTGAAACATTGACAATTGCTCTTTGAATCTGACCATCTACCCAGTTCTGAATCCATTTGATTATAGTTTAATCCTTATTGAAAAAATACTTTATTGAAATAAATTATAAGACTGAGGGCTTAGAATGAGGAATTCCCCAGTTTCAACTGCCTTGTTATAAAACTATAAATATGTCATTATTGCCATGATCATCATCAAGAAAGGCAGAGTGGAACAATGGAAAGAATTCTGGATTTAGAGTCAGAATGCTGGGTTTAAATCCAGTAATCCCTTTCTACTACCTTTAAGTAGAAATAATACCTTCTTGGTAATATGTAGATGAAATTTTCAGATGGTAGCTATTCATTCATTATAATTGTGAAGGCAGTGTGGTGCATTGGAATAAATTTGGAGTTAACCTCTAGGTCTACTATTTACTCCCTGGTGACCTTGTTTAATACTCAACATAAATAGGGAGATACTAAAAGAGCTCCTGGGTGCCTCTAATGAATGCAAATCACTTGGCCCAGGTGAACTACATCAGAAATTAAGCAATACTGGATGTGATCTTTCAAAGACCATGGAAAATGGGAGAGAGAGCGGAATGAGAAAAGATCAGAAGCTGTACTGATTTCCATAAAAAGGAAGAAAACGGAAACTGAAAGATATAGGTAGGTCAGTGAGCTTGGTTGTAATTTCTGGCAGCTTTCTAGAACAAACACATTATTGGAGGAATGGTTAGAATATACCCAGAAAGTTAGTCAATGATCACAAAGAATAATAATGACTTCATTAAGAATAGGTTGCTCCAAAATAAGCTTATATTCTTCATTGGTAGTAATAAGACAGGTAAATAAGGGAAATTCTGTGGATATAGTTTACCTGGATTTTTAGCTATCCTGTCCCACAGAGACTATTAAAAAGGTTTTTGTATCTTTTAGAGCCAAATAGAAAAGTTTCAGAAAAGGCAGTTTTCCCTGAAAGTTTGGAAGATTTGTAATTGTCCTTCTATGAAATGCTTCTCTCTGTGGGCTCAGGAAGAGTGTAGGTTTAATTTTGAACTATGAAGTATCTATGTAAAAGCAGAGAAAGAAGGTAAAATTATTTTCCTTCTTATTTCATGAAGAAACATTTGAAAAGAGAATGGTATGAAGAATCTATGAGGACCTACCTGATAGACATAGTGCAGTTCTGGAAAGGCTCTTACTTGTGAGTCCTGAAAAGGGGAGTAAGAAAAAGCATTCCTGAAATATTGAATTTAACTCTTTTCTTGAGAAATATGAAGAAGATTCTTGAGAAACTTTAATCAGTACCTAGAATGAACTGGGTGATACAATTGTGTTCCTAGATGTGAAGTACTTATTTGTTGTTATAGTATGGCTTTGAAGTGACTCTAGCAGTGACCTTTTCACAGTCAAAATATAACTAATTATCTATAACTTTGTCTTATTTATTTAATTGTCAATAAAGTATTTATTAGCCTTAGTATTTATCTAATCTCTAATATAAAGAAATATATGAGTAACTGTTATTTAGAAAGGAGTTTTCTCCAATTTATTCAATAATAATATTTCATGAGCTCAGATGGTTTTTGAATCAACTGATTTATTAATGAGAAAGAGGTTGCAATTTTAATTAATAAGAAAATAGCCAAATATATCCCGGGTTACTTTAGAATATGGGATGATAATTAAAACATTGGAACCATTTAAATGGCAGGCTAAGGGATGACTGGCAAATAAGTGTGGTTTATCCTAGAGTTCCTGCTATGCATATTTTGCCCAGATTTTAGCAAATATTTGATAGTCTCTTATGCTATTATCATGGAAAAGTTGAAAAGATGTGGGTAAGATAATAGTACAGTTAAGTAGACATGGAGCTGGTTAAAGGGCTAGTCTAAGCAGCAGACTTTAATGTTTTAATATCAACATGCACGGAGGTCTCTAGTTGTGCACCCCAGGAATTTGTGCCTGCTTCTGTGTTGTTTAACATTTTTATCAATTACCCAGATAACAGTATAAATGGCATACTTACCAAACCCGCACATGGTGCAAAGCTGGGATAGCTAAAACACTGAAATGACAGAATCAGGATCCAAAAAGATTTTGACAGGTTAGAAGGCTGGGTTGAATAAAATGAGGTAAAAATTAAAAGGTAAAAATGTAAAGTTTTATTCATGAGTAAAAAAAAAATTCATAAATGAAAGTTCAGAGAAATGTGGCTAGGTAGCAGTTTAACTGAAAAGGCTCTGGGGATTTTAGCAGATCACAAGCCCAGTATAAATCAACAATATAATAATGCATTGGAGAAAGCTAATGCAGCTTTGCTGCAGTTGAAGAATTAGGGTATTCAGTGATAAGACAGACTTAGTCTTGTTCTGGGCATTTCTATTCTTTGTCCAATAGGTCAATTCAGTTTATTTTTAAAAACCTTGATTAAGTACCTCCAATTTTCAAGGCTAGATTGTAGGCTCCTTGAGGGTACAAATTGTGCCTTGTTTTGTCCTTATGTCCCAAGGCTAGCATAATGGATGGCCCCCAGTAAGCATTTAACAAAAATGATTATTGCATACCTTTGAATATGTTTTAGACAAACACTAGTGGGAATCCACTAACCTTGAGTGTAATCCCAAAGTGTAGACACACATTAATCAAATCAGTCTTTTTTTCTTGTCATAGCCTGCCTTTCCTAGACATTTTGAGGTGTAAGTGAATACCTAGGTATTTAGAAGGGTGAAAACAGTTGTTAAGTACAGAAAAACAGACTGAGCTTTATGAGGTAGATGGGAGAAGAGAGTTTCAGGAAATGATCATGACCTTGACCTTCATATGTCATTGGCAGACTTTTGGCATAGAAGGTTCTGGTTTGGAATGTTCCGCTCCTTGGAACAAAGCAGAGCATGATGGAGAGGGAATTCCACAGTTTTCGGAGGAGACCTGACCTAGGAACTTTCTCTCCATTTCCTAGATCAGTTCAAAAACAGGCAATGACTGTGAGTTAGTGAAGGGGAGGAAGTATGAGGGTTACAGTGTCAAGAGGTTTCCTAGAAGGGTGAGTGTCAGAGCCTTTATGTAGAAGGTAAAAGTTTTAAATGGTTTCCAAGTTGCTGGGGTGTCAGGGGCCAGTGATTTGTGAGCTCTGTCCTCTGTCATGCCTCAACCTTTGGCCATTCCTGGCTTTGCTTAATTGGCATAGGCCAAGGCCTACATCATATGTCTTGAGGCACACCAAGAGGCCCACCTGCCCCAAATTATCTTCCCCAAGGGCCTGCTTTAGTGCCTGTAGCACTATGGCACTCTTAAGGTTATACATTTTGTCTTTAGAAGGTCTATGTTAGCCCTAAATTAACATGTGTTAACTTTAAAATTAAAACAAACAAATCCACAAGGGTTTGTCATGGTCATCTGTCATTGGGCCATTAACAATCATTAACATGTTAAGCTTACATTAGTTTATCAGATTAGTTTGTGTGCTACTTCAGAAAACAGGGCCCTGAAGGAGCTGGACAGAAAGAGCAGAAAAAAAAATTGACATGATGGAAGAAACCAGAATGAGGAAAAATTTGCTTAGACTAGATCAATCTTCTTTCAATGGGCTGAAAGCTGGCATTAAAATAAGAAGGGCCAGGTTTCAAGTACTAGCCCTGTTACTATCTACAGGTCTTTGGGTGCCAGTCACTCATGCTCTCTGGCTCTCGGTAGGTCTATAAGAAGGGTAGGTTGGACTAAGTGACCTTCTAATATTCTTTCTAGCTGTCTTTTTTGGTCCTAAAAACTGCCTACAGAGAAGAGGACTGAATCGGTCCTGTTTCTGAAGCCAACATTCTTGGAGATCAATATTTTGATGTGGAAAGCCATAACAGTGCTAGCTATTTGATCATTTTTGCCCATTTGTCTGCCTAGTCTCAGATTCCTTTGTGGTGAGGGCTGTACCCCAAAATATAGCATGAAAATATTATGTGGCTGGAAAGGAGGTAGAATAGATTCTCCTTCTACTACCCTTCTTGGAGAGAGACTACAATTCCTGCCATAAGGAGAAGCAGGAGGTTAGGAAGTAACATAGAAGCTTGGCCACTCTGCTGTCCTCAGAGAGAGGGGTAAAGGCTGGAGCTATATCTATCTACTCTCTTAAATATTGTTAGTCTAGGGAATGTCATCTTCAGTTTTAATCTAACTTCTGATTGTTATTTCATTATTGAGGGGAAGCAGGACTCCACACTTTATATCAAAGGCTTGACCCCTTTGCCACCAAATATCAGTTCCACAATGAACATACATGCAGCAATTGACTAAGAAATCCATTTATTCCAGTCAGAAGCAAAAACAGAAATCAAATTATACATATGAGAATATATATCAGGCAATGCAAAGTGAAGGAGCTCTCCCACTAGGAGCAAAGCAACTCAGCGAGAGAGAGAGAGAGAGAGAGAGAGAGAGAGAGAGAGAGAGAGAGAGAGAGAGAGAGACAGAGAGAGAGACAGAGAGAGAGACAGAGAGACAGATAGACAGACAGAGAGTCCTCAATCTCAATCAAGGAGAAGTTCCCTAAAGTCTCTAGTGTAGCAGTCTGGAGGGATGGGGACATGATAAAGGCTGCCAGCTTCTTCCCAGAGTCTTTTCCTTCAGCACCTTCCATCTCTTTCAAAGCTGGAAACTTTGAGTCCAAGCTAAAGTCCAAAGAGACTCATAGACATGAAGAAGACTTGACACTCCCCTTTCTTCTGCTCTTTCCAACTCTGCCCCCAGCCCTGCCATGCAGGCACAAGGCATTCATCTCCACTAGTAAGTAGAGGGTTCAACAGCAATGGGTTTGGGGACTGAGCTTATACCTTGATTCTCTATTTGGGGAATTAAGGGAAATTTTTTATGTGGCCTTCCATACCAAGCTCAGAGATCAACATTCCATTAAAAAATCCTATGTCAACTTAGGTTGAATATATGGATACCTGATCTTTCAGAGGTAGGTTGAATTCACAGGATTATAGGGGCCTTGGAGATTGATTACCTACTTCCCCTCCCTTAATTTATAGCAAAGGACACTGAGGCCTAGAAAACTTAAGTGACTTGCCCAAGGTTATATGGCTGACCAGGAAGTCATCTAAAAGCAGGGAGGGTCGAATCTGAGGGTTACTATCAGAAGGACAATTCTGTTGTCACTTTTATGGCAATTTGTAAACGCTTTTCTGCCTTCCTTCATGACCCACTTTTGAGTTACTGAAATATATATGCATTAATATTGTCATGGAGATAATATATTATCACAGTTTTCTGACTGCTGCCAAATGACATCTATCAGTAGAATCTCTGAAGTTAGAATAATTGCTAAGTAGAAATTAAGATCATGTCATTTTCATATTTGATTTGTATACCCTCTTTCCTTCCCCTAATACCAGTCTGTGAATACCAATCTTTTGGTATTGGTAACCTTTGGTATTTGGTATCCTTTGAGGAAATTTGGTATTTAGTATCATTTGAGGAAAGGAAAATGACTTGACTTAACATTTCATGAAATTATCCAGAGGGTTGTCTTCATCCATCTATAATGCAGTATCACAGAATCTGAGGGCTGGCCAGCTATCCAGTCCAACTCATACAGAAACAAGAAGCCCTATATCTGTATTCATACACACATCTACATATCCTCTTGAAATACAGTAAGCAGAGAGTGACGTGAAAGAGGTTAAAGCTCAATGTTTTAAGTAAGTCATCTTAAAGTAAATTTGTAAGTCTGCCTGGTGGGCATTTCAAAATTCCAAACATAAGCTATTCTCAGCTGCAATCAGTTATCACTATTTAAACATCTTTCCTTCCTCAAACTCAACTTTCCAAGAAGTTAGTTCAGATGATCTTGAACAGTAGCAGTTCATCAAGGCAGAGCTCCCCTCACCTCCCACCTCTCTTGTCTCCCTTCTTTTAGCATAAAGACTTTCTTAAGTTTGCCCTGAAAGAATATATTTTCCAAAGGCTCCAGAGAAATGAGGGGTAGCAAATCCTCAAGAGGAATCATTTTAGTTTTGTACATTTTTTCCCTCTTATTGGCCAGTGATGACTTCTGGTTTCTAACAACAGAAAAAAACAGCTTCTCAAACATCAAATAGCTTTTGCAAAATGACATTTTGTTAGATTCAATGTACACAAACCAGAAACATATGGACAGAGTTTTCCATCAAACATTCAGAAGCTGATGCATTAAGTGAAAAAAACTTCTGAAAGCATACTTTCTGTTTTTGTTTTTGTTTCTTTATAAACCAGAATTCTACCAATATGAGATGGCTATTCAGAGCTTTTCGGTGCTCTTCTTTAATGATTAGTTCTGTCCTTAATTTCTCTTTTTATAGCTAGAGAGATAAAGCATTTATTAAGTGCTTACTGTGTCCCTGGTGGACGTCATTTCTGGAGTTTAACTGAAGCCAGACTTAAAGTAACTGCTGAGGGCAAGACTGTAAATTGTTTTCACCCAATTTCAGTTGCACAAATAAAAGGGAAGGACTTCACAGGCACCTCTAGCTCTTCCATGGTAATGGAGCAACAATGATCACTGAAAGACACAGATAATTTCCCAACCCAGTCTTGAGCCCATCAATTTCAATCAATCCTTTTGACAAGAATGGCTTGCAAGTAGCAAAATTGACTGATTGTTTTTTTCTCTTCTCCTCCCTCCTGCCTATGCACACTCTCTGACAGAGGCACCAAGAACAGTGAAATGGCCCAAAGGCAGACAGCAGGAGGGAGGAAAGAAGAAAGGAAAACAAACAGGATAATCAACCCCTGAGCAATGGAGTGTTGGCTGTTTTCTATTATTCTGGCCAGCTGAGCTTTATCAAATGCATTTAGAATGGTCCTTCATGTTGGGTTTACTTCCTTCACTATGACTAACCAACCTCTTTTTATGTGTGTGTGTATGAGGTTTGTGAACACAGTTGGGCTTAGGACATACAGCACTTGAATGAGATCCAGTTATGCAGCCAAATTCTCATGACTTTCAGGCGCATTATTTCCATGCTCTTTCTTCTGAAAACAAGCATTTAAATTGTGCATGAAACCTTGTCAATTAGGAACACAAATAAAAGTAACCAACCAATGAGTGGAAACACAAAAGCACTTCATCAATCTTGGGTGTTTACATACTGCTCTAAGTATGGGGATTTTTTTGATCATGCACTTGGGTATTTGGGATATCCACTTTAAAAAGCACAGCCTGCTGTGTATGAAAATATGATCTCTTGAGTTCTGTTTGATCTATCCTTACTATCAGTGAACTTTAGCATTTTTATGCCATGAACAAAATGGAGAACTGGCCCATTCATTTATGTGAAATCAGTCTATTGGGAATCATATACACTGAAGGGAGCAAATCTGTACAATTACCATTGTGGACAAGAATGCCCTTTGGACACCTCCTTTATGTTGTTAAAAAACAAGAATGAATACTCAAGAGGAAGAAATAAATCAACTTCAAAGAGGCACTCTCTTGATCAAAAGGCAAAATAGATTTCAACCTTTTATGAAGTATAAGCTGTTTTTAACATGTGTATTACCAAAGCATACAGGTTTTACATAAAAGTGCTTTAGGATTACTGTAAAATAAATCTATTATTGATGGAATAAATTTGAATTGAATGTAATGGAACCAAATTGAATAGAATAAAAGTAGAATGGAATGGAATATTAGAGCAGGAAGAGAACTTAGAAATTATCTAATTAACCTCCTTATTTTAGAAAAATAAATTTAAGCCCAAAGAAAATTAGTGGCTCAACTCACCCAGCTTGTTAATGGTATAAGTAACACTAGGAACCATATCTCCTAACTTCCCAGATGATCAGAAAGTAGGTAGGGTTGTCCATTTGTGTTTCTTGTAAAGTGGACATGTAATCTAGTGACGTCTGCTAGTGATGATTTCCATAAGAAAAATGGTATAATTGTGAATATTAATGAATATTTAGTATCTCTAAAGTGCTCTAAAGGGTATGTATGGAGCATTTGAGAGGCATGGTTCCAGCCTTTGGACATACTGGATCTTCTGAATCTTGTCCTTATTTGAATGTCTTTCATACTTAACTTTTTTTTTAAGGCAATTGGGGTTAAGTGACTTGCCCAGGGTCACACAGCTAGTAAGTGTGTCAAGTGTTTGGTCTGAGGCTGGATTTGAACTCAGGTACTCCTGACTTCAGAGCCAGTGCTCTATCCACTGCGCCACCGAGCTGCCCCCATACTTAACTTTTAATAGTTTTCACATTGAAAACAGTAGGTTATAGCAGATAGAGAGCTGGCCTTCTGCCAGGAAGACCTGTATTTAAGTCCCATGTCTAACACAGATTGGATACATGAACCTGGGCACATCACTTAACCTATCTGTATTCCAGGCAACTCTAAATTTTTATATTGTAGAGAAAATGCTGAGAAGCTTTAGTGGATAGAGTTTATTCATCTGGGAGCTCCCCATACCAGTGAAACCATAGATCCAGTTCCTATTCCTGTTCTCCATCTCTTTAGACTCACTAGCTATAGATCTGAATAAATCCATTCCTCTCAACTATTGGCTCCTAGAAAAGAAAGATTCTTTCTTCACTGTTACCCCTTCCAAGCGATCCTTTAATGGGTTCAGATTTCTGCTTCATTTAACCTCCTTCTCTAGTTCTTCATGATCTGGTGCCTAGATGTTCTCTTGCCTTCATCCTATATCCTCTTATCCTTCATCTTATATACTTCATCCTGTCCTCTCTAACTCTGATTGGTAGTCTAAAGACCATTTTGCCTTTGGTAATTACATTGCCTTCTTTTCCAAGTGACCTAGCTCTGTAGCCACAAGTCAAGGCCAACTTGTAGCTCCTTCCACAGGTCTGGCTTTCCTTACACTGTTCCCAGAATAAGTTTCTCCAAGACTATGGAACTCTCTTATTCTAACCTGGTGCTCCCTGGTGACCTGCCCCTGCCTCTCTAATCGTTGGTTCAGTTTACAAGCCAGATTGTCTCTTTAGGCAATGGATATTGGAATGGCTGCCCTTCTTCTCAGCCTTCTGGCTTCAATTATATTGCTTTTACCATGCTGGATTGGTTCATGTCTCCTTCCTATTCCAGAAGAACAGTTTCCTGAAATCTGAAGTATAATCAGAAAACATTCTTAAGCAGACAATAAACATAAATAGAACACCCTTCCCATCTCTCCAAATCTGTAGGACCTAGCACTGACACCAATCATCCTCATAGAATTTTACTTAAAGAAGAAACCCAAACAGGAGCAGTAATGACCGTTGTGAATGAACACTAAGTTTTATTACATATGATTAAGATATTTTAAGGAAATAAAACTCTTTGGTTTGCTAGTTCTAATGGTGAAAAACTTTAATGTAAAAAGCAGCCATATGCAAATGAGATTAAGAACCATAATGCCCTGCAGCCTCAGTCATTTCTCTGCTCTCAAACAAACTACTCAAGAGTGTAAGGAAAATTACCTCATATTTATAATTGTTTTTGGTCTAAGACAAGAATGTTTTGGATATAAAGGATGTCTGGATATAAACATTTAGTGGATGGAAGTTGCAAAGAGGCAAATTTAAACTTGAAGTAAAAAAAAAAGATTCAACATTAGACTTATCTTACAGTGGAATTATGTTTACTCTGTAGGGAATAGATTCTTCCTTTCTTGAAGTCTTTAATCAAAGGCTACCTAGTTGTTAAATATGATGACAGAATTTTCTTTTAGGTATGATTTGGATTTTAGATTAGGGTTTCGTGGCCTTTTTATGTGTCATGGACTCCAGTGCTAGGTAAAACCTATAGTCTACTTCTCAGAATAATGTTTCTAAATTGATAAATAAAGTACATGATTTTCAAGGAAAACAATTATGTTGACATGTGTTTATTTATCAACTACTATCTATCTATCTATCTATCTATCTATCTATCTATCTATCTATTTGCTATCTATCTTGCTATCTATCTTGCTATCTATCTCTATAAAGACTTATCTACATAGATTGGAAAAGGAAATGGAAAACCAATCCAGAATGCTTGCCAAGAAAACCCCATGGACAGTTTTGGTGTTATATGGTCCATGGGGTCATGAAGAATTAGACATGACTGCATGAATGAACAACAAAATCTATATTGTTGTAGATATTTAAGTTTATAGACCCCAGATTAAGATCCTGTAGGTTCAACACAGGCAAGTAGCCTCTCAGGTCCCTTCCAAATATAAGGTTTTTATATTTATACACCCACTAAGACTTCTCTTTTCTAGGCTTAATATCCCCAGTTGCTTTAGTTATTACTTTTGTAGCTTTGTCTCACTACTTTTATTTCATATCCCTTTGGGAAGTATGGGCATCATCACCAACACTTCATTGAAATAATTGAAGATATCTCCTTGATGTGACTTGGATAATAATCTGGGTCTTGTTTACCCATTTATAGTTGGCTCCTATGAGCTATGAATAGGTCAACAAAGTCCCTGCCCCTTTTTATAGACCAGTACAAAGGTTGACTCAAATCCACAATGGCCTTAATCAATTCATCTCCAGTGGTGAGAATTAATCACGCAATCTCATTGAGCGATAAATTATATCTCCAACTCCTGTGCTATTATACAAACTTACCCCCTATGCCTGGACTCTCACTTTTCACCTCTGCCTCTTATAAATCCTAGCTCCTTTCACAGATATAGTCAAGCAGTACTCACATGTTAAATGAAGCCCTTCCACTTCTCTCTGGTTTTTTTAGTTCACTCCCTTCCACCTAAAAAAAAAGTCCCTTTTTAATTTACTTTGAATATGTAATTCTGCAACAGCATCAACATGAAGATGAAGGAGACTGAATCCACCAACACTCATATTGTGGAACTGAGAGTTTCTGATATTGTTTCTATGAAGACCTCTGGGAGAAAGACACCAGAAGACAAGCAAGCTAGATCAACAGGAGATTGGAGTTTGTCTTCCATCTTGGGGCCAAGAAGATTTTTTTTCTGAGTTGAGCACTTAGCTGGCCTTTGAATTCATGTTCCTTTACCCTTTTCAACAAATACTCTAAAAGGTGACACATCTGCTACTGCTGAAGTGACATGGAGACTACAAGTAGCAATGAAGTTAATATAGAGCTAAGGGACCAGGGAGCTGGTTGGGCTAGATTTGGTGAGATTATCCCAATTGTCTATGAGACTCAATATCCTCCTGGGACTTTATTTTGGAAAAAGGAAGCAACTGCCCTGCCTTGCCTTTTCTCCATAAGAGGGAGAAGTTTAGAGAAAACATTTCTATGCAGCAATTAGCAATACCTTGTGAAGCCTACCTCTAAGTCTCTAGACTACCTCTTCCTACTCATGGTGATTGGGAGGAAAGGGTAGTATGGGAAAAACAGTGGACATATACAACATTTATCATGAAGCCATGAGGCATGAGGAAGATATGGGAGAATAACGGCTTCTTGCTCTTTCCCAACTTCAACCCCACTCCCACCCCAATCACAACTGTTTGGTATAATTTCAGGCATTCCTTAGCCTGCTTGAAGTTGATTCATAAAATGATGGTCAAAATTGAGAGATTAAACCTGATGTGGACAAATTTTCCTAAACTAATAGAAGAAAAGCTCTTTGGAGACAGATGTGGGCTAGCTCACTAGTTTGAGACAAGGGTGGATAGGGGACAAGGATGCAAGGAGGAAAGGTGGAAAGGGTGGAAACTTTCATTTCATCATACTTTCCACACCCATATGTATATACATACATATATATATATATATATATATAATATATATATATATATATATATATATTAATATATATATTATATATATAAACACACACACACACACACACACACACACACATACACACACATATGTATGTGCATATATAGACATGTACACACATGCATGGTACATGTATAAATATATACACATTTGCCCATTACAGGTATTATACATACACATGTACATATATACATACAGGCGTGTTGTCTATAAACACATTATCTTAAAGACCAGTACAAAGATTGACTCAAATGTTAAATGTTATCTTAAATATTTTACCCAAGGTACACACATGCCAATTCTACTTGGTATTTGCTTCCTAAATTCTATGACATTTCCTAGCAACACTGTATCACAAAGGTGAAAGACAAATGTTGCATTCTTCCCAGGCCAACTGACTGTTTTGAGCAACGTTGCCTTCCTCTGGTCCCAATATTCCTAATTTCATTTGCTTCATGTTCTGACCACTATGTCCTCCCCTAATGAAAGGATTTCAGGCTCTTCTTCCATCCTAGGGCCAGCTTCTCCCTAGGTTCCAGTTCTCTTTCTAGTGATTGGATCATGTTTCGCATTTTAACATTATAGCTTGCTCATTTCTGGTTAATGAAGCATCCTCATCATGGGTCACTGCCCACCTATACCACGTTCCTTCTCTGGTCACTTCCTAGATGAGTCAATAATAGTTAACAGTCAGCAAGCATTTATTAAGCATCTACTATTTGCCAGCTACTCTGCTAAGTACTGGAGATATAAAAACAAACAACAAAAGCCCCAAACATAGCCCCTGCTCTCATGCATTCTTAGGGGACTGGCCACATGCAAATATCTAGGTACATTCAAGTTAGATACAGAGTATATGAACTTAGTATTTAAGGCAAGGCATTAGCAGCTGCGGTGGGTGCCAGGGGAGGGTTGGGGGGAGAGAATCAAGAAAGTCTACAACAAAAGTTGGAATTCTAGCCGATTCCTGAAAGAAGTCAAGGTATCTAATTGGTGGAGATAAGGGGGCGGAGCGTTCCAGGCACTGGGGATAGCCAGGACAGAAAGAGGAAACAGTGCTGTTTTCAAAGAACTCTACATAGGCCAACATTGCTGATTCATAGAAATCATGGAGGGGCATAAGCAATAAAAATGTTGAAAAGGTAGGAAGGGGTTAGGTTATGAAGAGCTTTAAATACAGTGGTGCATATTTCATCTTGGAGGCAATAGAGGGACACCGGAACATTGGGGAGTGACAAGGCCAAATCTGTTCTTTAGAAAAATTACTGAGGCAGCTGAGTAGAGGATGCATTGGAGTAGGGAGAGAAGGGTCAGGAAGACCACTTCAAGGAAAGTTGGAGGTCAACTTGATTTTGGAATCTTCTCTCACAGCAAGGTGGAAATGACTTCAATTTCTTGATGGCTCAATGGCCTCTATGTTAGAATAAGATGAAACTACCAACAGAACTTTTTTTGAAAGAATTTAATTTGAAGTTAATTTTTAAGCACTTTAGGTTCCTTCAAAAGTCATGAAAATACCTTTGGTAGGATGTCATACATGCAACATTCTTAGAAACTTAAATTAAAAAAATGAAATAATATAACGTATAAAGAAAAGTTTATGAGAGAAAAACAATGAGATACAAACCCTATATTCTAATCTTGGATCTATGAAACTTGGGGTAGTCATTTAAGGCCACCAATCCTCAGGTTTCCTTTTCTAGAAGATGGATTGCTTTGTAGGTTGATTTCTTTATAACTGGTAGTCTTCAAGGAGTGTCTGGATAGCTATTTATGGGAAAAACTGTAGAAGGGATTCACATGTCAGACTATAGTTTTGGAGATGGAATGGATCTTAGAAGACACCCTCCACTTCACAGATGAAGAAACTGAGACTGAGAGAGGCTAAGGAACATGCTTAGGGTCACATAGGTAGTAAATGTCTAAGAGAGGATTCAAAGTCAAGTCTCTCTGACTCCAAATTCAGTGTTCTATCCACTGTGCCCTGTAGCTACCTAAAAATTACACCAAAGCAAGGAAAAAACACTTTTGTGTCCTATGCAAGGTTTCTAAATTGTGTGGCATTTTGCACTTGAAAATTGTGATCATAGTTTATTATCTGCTAGAGGCTTTAATCCATTATCTTTGGCACATTCTATTTCATTTGTCACATAATAATTGCCAATGTGCTAGGGACAATGTGGCTTTCCTGGCATTAACAAATTTATAAAAGTCATATTTAAAAGACACCCCAGGGGCAGCTAGGTGGCTAAGTGGATAGAGCTCCAGCCTTGGAGTCAGGAGGACCTGAGTTCAAATCTCACTCAGACACTTGACACTTACTAGCTATGTGACCCTGAACAAGTCACTTAACCCTAATTGCCTCATTGAAAAAAAAAAAACCAAGACACCCTGTTTTTCCCCTGTGGGTTGTATCTTACTACTTACTGCTTGTCTTGGGCCTGTGTTGGCCAAATGACCTTGAAGGCCAATCAATCAGTCACTATTTGCCAGGTTCCTTTCAACCTGATTCTAGTATTGTATTCCATACCCCAGAGGGTTGTTATAAACAAAGCTCCATATAAACAGTAAAGAACTCCATTAACAAGAGGATTAAAAATTTTGGTAGCATTATTTGGACCTGGCTTTTATTGTATGTTAATGTTTATTATTATTACACAATAAATAGTTAACATAATACAATTATATGTAATTAGTATTGAATAAGGAAAGATGAGTATTTGAGGTCAAGGGGTGCTTTACCTTTGTCTTTGTATATCTATCCTCATGATTTAGTACAGTTCTAAAACTTTTGGTGGTGTTCTGCATCTGTGATTTTATCACTTTAGGGAGGTCTCTAGTGAAGGAATTCCCTTGACCCACAGATTGGCAACTTCCTGCAATAGTTAGATAGTTGACTGCGCCACTGAAGGTTTAAATTACTTGCCCAAGGTCAAATAATTAGCCTGTGTCAGAGGTGGGATTTGAACCCAAGTCTTAACTCCTAGGCTAGGACTTCTTCCCCAATCCCGTACTATCTCTATGTTTGATTGCCTGAAAGTTTGAGAAGTGTGTATATATACAAATGAGTTGCTATAGAGAAAGAATTTGGCACCTGGTGGCCAACCACCAGGAAATGAGTCTCTTTGTACTTATATTGGCTGGTCCTTGGACATGAGAAATAGTCTGTTGCCATATTTTAATGCTTTTCAACTTAGAAGCCCTGCCAGAGATTCTGATCCACTGGTATTTAAGAACTCAAGGTCAACTCCATGCCACAAGAAAGTTATTAGAATGATACTGGTTTCTGTGAGATGTGAGACATAAGGGAAAACCTCCATCAAATATGGGGGACTCAAGGAAGAATACAAACAGGAATCACACAGGCTAGGAAGATATGTATGATTTACAATCTGCACTGAAGGAGAGTACTTTCACTGATGAATGGGATCATAGATTCATTTAAATGCATGTCATCATTCTTAACAAGCATTTACTAAGTACCCCTTATATCCTGAGCACTGTGCTAAGCTCTGGGGATACAAAGAAAGGCAACAAAAACAGTCTTAGGCTTGAAGATGCTCACATCTTGATGGGAGAGAAAATACAAACAATTACATACGTGCAATAAAATAGATACCTGTTGTGTATCTACATAGATATCTTAATTGCACATGTATACATATATGTATATGTTGTATCAGTGGGATGATCTCAGAGGGAGGGGACTAACATTGCAGATGTCTGAGAAAGGTTTATAGAAGGTAGATTTGATTTGATCTGAGTTTCGAAGCCAGGGAAACTAGAAAACAGAGTGGAAGAAACTATGATTGTATGTGACTTTTGATCTTCACATGTAATACTGTATCCAAAGTATGAATTATGCAATCAGTTTCACTGTATAAAGAAGCCAGAACACTGTATATCCATTACTTCACCAAAAGTTGATGGACTTTTTAATAAATACTTTATGTGAAGTTCAGCTCTTCTTTCCCTTTGGCTACTAACTACGA